TTAAGTGAAAGTTTATAGTGCAGATTAGTTTCTCGTTTAAAAATTTATAAATAAATTGTTTTGTGACGTTGATTGCAATCTCTGCAATGTGTCAGCACTCTCCCCCTTGGCACCCCTGGTTCCCCACATCCATTCATGCAGTTTTCCTGTCCCTTCCTGACTTCTTGTCTTTGCTTTTGGGCAGGTGTTGCCCATTTGGTCTCATACACTTGATTGAACTAAGAAGCACATTCCCCACGTGTTATTGTGTGTTTTATAGGGCAGTCTAATCTTTGACTGAAAGGTGGACTTCAGGAGTGGCTTCAGTTCTGAGTTAGGGTGTTTGGAGGCCATAGTCTGGGGTTCCTTCAGTCTCTGTCAGACCAGTAAGTCTGGTCTTTTTTTGTGAATTTGAATTTTGTTCTATATTTTTCTCCCGCTCTGTCTGGGATCCTCTTTGTGATCCCTGTCAGAGTGGTTGGTGGTGGTAGCCAGGTACCATCTGGTGTTCTAGGCTCAGGCTGGTGGGGGCTATGGTTCATGAAGTCTATTAGTCCTTTGGACTAACATTTTCCTTGTGTCTTTGGTTTTCTTCATTCTCCTTTGCTCCAAATGAGATGGAACGAATAGTTGTATCTTAGATGGCCGCTTGCAAGCTTGTAACATGCCAGATGTTACTCAGCAAAACAGGATGGAGAACATTTTCTTTATGAACTACATTATGCCAGCTGACCTAGATGTCTGCAGAGATCATGGCCCCATCCCTCAGCTCCAGTAATTTGGTCCTTCAAGGTGTTTGGATGTATCTAGGAAGCTTCTATGACTTTGCCTTGATCAGGTTGTTCTGACTTCCCCTACACTGTGTGTTGTCTTTTCCTTCACCAAAGTTCACACTTGTCTACTATTTAGTCAGTGATTTCCCCTCCTCAACCCTCCCCTCCGTTTTAACCATCTGCTTTAGTTATCTAGTGCTGCTATAACAGAAATACCACAAGTGGATGGCTTTAACATAAACTTATTTCCTCACAGGCTAGGAGGCTAGAAGTCTGAATTCAGGGTGCCAGCTTGCGAGGAATGCTTTATCTCTCTGTTGTTTCTGAGGAAAGGTCCTTGTCATCAATCTTCCTGTGGTCTAGGAGGAGCTTCTCTGTGCAGGGATCCCAGATCCAAAGGACGTGCTCCGCTCCTGACGCTTCTTTCTTGGTGGTACGAGGTCCCTCTCTTCTCTGCTTGCGTCTTTCTCTCTTTTATATCTCAAAAGAAATTGACTCAAGAGACAACCTAATCCTGTAGATTGAGTCCTGCCTCATTAACATAACTGCCTCTAATCTTGCCTCATTAACATCACAGAGGTAGGATTTACAACTCACAGGATAATCACATCAGATTATAAGATGGTGGACAAGCATACAATACTGGGCATTATAGCCTAGCCAAGTTGACAGACATTTTTGGGGGACACAATTTAGTCCATAACACCATCAAAGATTGTTTCTTTCTGTGTGTAAACCTTTGAATTTTTATAACAGTGGCTTCATACAATATTTGTCCTGTTGTGATTGACTTATTTTACTCAGCATAATGCCCTCCAGGTTCATCCATGTTGTGAGATGTTTCTCAGATTCATCATTGTTCTTTATCCTTGCACAGTATTCTACTGTGTGTATGTACCATCAGTTGTTTATGTATTCATCTGTTGATAGTCACTAGATTGTTTCCATTTTTTTGCTATTGTGAATAATGCTGCAGTGAACATGAATGTGCATGTGTCTATTTGTGTGATGGCTCTTATTTCTCTAGGATATATTCCTGGGAGTGGGATTGCTGGATGGTGTGGTATTTCTACTTCTAGCTTTTTAAGGAGGCACCATATGGTTTTCTAGAGTGGTTGTATCATTTTACAATCCTACCAGCAGTGCGTAAGAGTTCCAAATCTCCCTGCATCCTCTCCAATATTTGTTATTTTCTGTTTTTTTGATTAGTGCCAGTAATGTCGGTGTGAGATGGCATCTCATTGTAGTTTTTTTTTTTTCCTATTTATTGATTTTTTATTGTACTTTAGATGAAGGTTTACAGAACAAATAGTTTCTCATTAAACAGTTAGTACACATATTGTTTTATGGCAATGGTTAACAATGCCACAACATGTCAACACTGTCCCTTCTCAACCATGGGTTCCCTATTACCAGCTTTCCTGTCCCCTCCTGCCTTCTAGTCCTTGTCCCTGGTCTGTTGTGCCCCATTAGTCTCGTTTTGTTTTATGGGGCTGTCTAATCTTTGGCTGAATGGTGAACCTCAGGAGTGACTTCATGTCCAGGGGCCATACTCTCAGGGTTTCTCCAGTCTCTCTCAGGCCAGTAAATCTGGTTGTTTTTTGTGAGTTAGAATTTTGTTCTACACTTTTCTCCAGCTCTGTCCGGGACACTCTGTTGCGATCCTGGTCAGAGCAGTCAGTGCTGGTAGCTGGGCACCATCTAGTTGTACTGGACTCAGTCTGGTGGAGGCCGTGGTAGTTGTGTCATTGTAGTTTTGATTTGCATTTCTCTAATGGCTAAGGATCTTAAGCATTTCCTCATGAGTCTGTTAGCTAGCTGAACGTCTTCTTTGGCAAAGTGTCTGGTCATATCCTTTGCCCATATTTTAATTAGGTTATTTGTCTTTTTGTTGTTGAGGTGTTGAAATCTTGCGTAGATTTTAGACATTAGACCCTTGTTGGATATGTCATAGCCAAAAATTTTTTTCCAGTCTGTAGGTTCTCTTTTTACTCTTTTGAAGAAGTCTTTTCATGAGCTTAAGTGTTTAATTTTTAGGAGCTCCCTGTTGTCTAGTTTATCTTCTAGTGTTTGTGCATTCTTAGTCATGGTTTGTATTCTATTTACACCATGTATTAGGGCCCCGATGTTGCCCCTATTTTTTCTTCATTGATCTTTATTGTTCTATGCTTTATATTTAGGTCTTTGATCCATTTTGAGTTAGTTTTTATATATGGTGTGAAGTATGGATCCTGTTTCTTTTTTTTTTTTTTTTTTTTTTAAGATTTACATCCAGTTTTGCCAGCACCATTTGTTAAAAAGACTGTCTTTTCCCCATTTAATGGACTTTGGCTCTTTGTGAAATATCAGCTGCTCATAGATGGATGGATTTATGTCTGTGTTCTTGATTCTGTTCAATCGGTCTATGTGTCTGTCATTGTATAAGTACCAGGCTGTTTTGACTACCTTGGCTGTATAGTAGGTTCTAAGATCAGATAATGCGAGGCCTCCTACTTTGTTTTTTCTTCAATAATGCTTTGCTTATCCGGGGCCTCTTTCCTTTCCATATAACATTGGTTATTAGTTTCTCGATCTTGTTAAAGAATGCTATTGGAATTTGGATCGGAATTGCATTATATCTGTAGGTCGCTTTGGGCAGTATTGACATTTTCACATTGGTGAGGGCCTTTCCTACCTTTTAGAGGTTGTAATGGATTGAATTGTGTCCCCCCAAAATATATGTTGTAAATCCAAACTCTTATACATGTGATATAATCTCATTTGGGAATAGGGTTTTCTTTGTTATATTAATGAGGCCATGCCAGTGTAGGGTGTGTTTTAAGCCAATCACTTTTGAGATACAAAAAGAAAAGATTAAGCACAGAAGAAAGCAAGGACAAATAGCGGAGGGTTGATGCCATTGGTAGCTCTCCAAAGAAGCCCCGAGACTAAAGCTACAGAAGCTAAGACAAAAATTTTCCCCCAGACCGGACAGAGAGAGACTTCCCCTAGAGCCAGCATCCTCAATTCGGACTTCTAGCTCCCAAACTGTGAGAAAATAGTTTTATGTTTCTTAAAGACACTCACTTGTGGTATTTCTAATATAGCAGCACTGAGAAACTAAGACAGAAGTTCATTCTTTCTCAAAATGATACAAAGAAACTTTCAGTATTTTTTCATACCCATTCATCTTTCTGCTCCTATTCTTTGTCTTTTCTGGATCCCAAACCTTCACCATGTCATTTGGAATAACATTTGGAAGTTTATGGGTAAGGGGGTCAATAAATAGAAACTCAACATGTGATTCTTTTTAGAACTATTTGTTCCGTGTTACTAATAGGGAAATACAGACAAGTCTTTTGCTACTTTAAAAAATAAAATGTTTATATTTTGGAGATCTTTATTAAAAATCGTTAATTTATCTCCTTATTATAATTGGCAATTATCTCTAGGATTCAGTCAATAATTTCTCTCCTCATTTGAAATACTCTAGATTAGTGCTTCTCAGAATTTGGGAAATAACTAAAATATCCATCAACAGGAGACTGGGTAAACCAATTGTGGTATATGCATACAATAGTAGGTTGCTGGTGTTAGTTGCCATAGAGTGGGCTCCAGCTCAAGACAACCCTAACTAAATGTTGCTCGTCTACATAATAGTATACTACTGATCAATAACAAGAAATGAACTATGGATATATGCCATAACATGGATGAATCTCAAAGTAATTATGCTGAGTGAAAGAAGGCAGGTATAAAAGACAAATTATATATAAGATTTTAGGAAATTCAAACTAGGCCATAGTGACAGAAATCGGAACAGTGGTTGCCTGAGCATGGAGGAAGGAGCAGGAGTGAGAAATTAGAAAGAGACAGGAGGAAACTTTTGGGGGTGATGAATACATTCATTTTCTTGACCATGGTGATAATTTCATGGGTATAAGTACATCAAAACTTATGAAATTTGATACTTTAAATATATGCAGTTTATTTTATGTCAATTATACTTTAATAAAATTGTTTAAGAAATGTTATGTGCATCTGAATCACCTGAGGATCTTAAAATATAGGTCTGATTCATTAGATCTCGGGTCGCCTGCATTTCTAATACCTCCCAAGTGATGCTGTAGTTGCTGGTCTGTGGATTGTATTTTGACTAGCAAGGTTCTAGATGGCCTAATGCTACTGTATTTTCTATAGTTTGAATTCGCAGTATGTGGTCCACCTTTTCTGTTCTGAAAAAAATATAAGAAAAAAATAAAAACTTACTTTGGCAGGAAACCACATGTAGGAACCATCTTCAGGATACATGAACATTCCATATTCTGGTCGGGTCATCTCTTCAAATACACAGTGGAAGAACTCTGACCTGACTCCTCCAGCTTCAGAAACAATTTCTTCCGTAAATTCAATCTGAGGAAAGATAACACACTTTCAGGTTCAGATTTAAAATACAATACCTTGATCTCCCAAACATGTAAACGAACTCAGTGAAGATCTGCAAAGCAACCCAGAAGAGTTGAGCCAGATCCTCAGCTGAACTGCACATTTGTGAAATAAATGATTGTTATTTTAAGCTTCGGAAGAAGTCATCATGCAGCATTTTTATAGCCATAGGTAACTAATAGTTAACTCATAACCAAATGCGCAATTAAATATCCCATAGCTATTCTCTGGAGGGTAAGAAGGGGATTCTGGAAACCATAAGACTGATAACCATAGTTGCAAATGCAGGTTCTAATAAGAAGGCCTGTGCTACATTATAGAAACACCCCCCGCCCGCCACATCATTAAAACATCCAATGAGACTTTTTATTGTACCACTAATGCTTTACGTAGGTCATTGACTTCAACTTGGCTTATTTGGCGCAGAGCATCTTCAACCAGGTGACTCCGTCTGACTTTCAGTATAAATTTGGGAGGAGAAGGAAATTCACTCTTTCTTTGTATAAACATTTGCATATGTTCCTGGTATGCTTTCTCTATTGACCCCTAAAAAAAGAAATATTTTACTTGGTTTCTCCTTTGAGAAGTGTTTAATATTTCAAATAAATATTTTAATATAGCATGCATATATACCTGCCGTTACTATATACACTCACATTGTAATTATTTAAGGAAAAGGACATCATATCTACACTATGGAAAATGAGAGACAGTAGAATTAGAGAAAATATGGCACCTGGGAATTGGGTACATGGGATCAGTCACCATGGATGAATAGCTAAGTAATTGAAAGCTAACTCAGATCACTTATTATAGTAAACATGATTCTTAAAGGCAATACTGGCATCCAACATGCTGAGGCATTCATCTATCATCAATCTTAAGAAGTCTTATTAATATAATGGCAGATTAAGAGCTCAAGGATGATGTCAGCTATAAGAAAAAATCTGAAAGACTTGCTCAGAGAAGATCCATTCTTCTTCAAATAACTGTGATTCATCCACAGAATCTGCATGGCAATTCCCTAAAAATATGCTACAGGTGGCCTCATTTATATCTAGCATTGCTCCCAGCCACCCTCCATAGTATTTCTCTTTAGCTTTTCTGAATTCTCAGCACTCCCTTACCCTAATCTTGATTCTTATCTTCGATTGGCAACCTAGTGTTGAACTTGCTATCCTTGCTTTGACCTTAAGCACTTCTCTAGAGCTTCTGGTATATCATAAGGACAATAAAGGAGAATTTAGAACATATATACTAATGAAACCCTCCTGGGGCCTGTTCTACAATAGTGACAGTAAGACCAGTGGATAACAGCTGTCCTACTGCAAGTTTCTAGGCTGACTGTGGTTGCCCACATTAGCTCTCTGCAAGCATCTCAGAGATGGACTTGCATCTGAACTTGGGAAAGCCTACCCCAAATCTCTGCCACCACTAAATGCTGAGAAATTTATATGTCATTCTACTATGTTCTTCTGTTTTTTCCTTAAGATGTTATTTGTAAAGAAGCTCCAGGCTTGTAGAGAAATTGAACAAGTCCCATTTCAGGTCTTTCCTGGTGGTGGGTCATCTCTTTCTGTGGCCCAGGAGTCTTTAGCTCAGGGACACTCAGCAACACTGACTGCTGAGCAACATGTTCTATGAGTATGCGTGACAGGGAGGAGCCAGCAACATCCTCCATCAACTATACCAGGGAAAGGTGTCTGTGGCCTGCTTCAGGCCCAGCCATCTCTCACCTAACCAAGCATTGATCTGGAATCCTGCATCTCATCTTATTTTCCAGCTTCTCTACTCCAGTTCTCCATATATTGGTTTCCCCTCTGTACTTTTACCTATTTGAATTGCTAACCCAGTTTGAAGATTACAGTTTTGACTGTGTCCATCAGCTTTCCTCTCGAGGACAGGACTGTAGAGTTTGCTTTCCAACTGCACCCACGGCAACTATAACTAAGAGACTTTACGGAGTCTTATTCTCAAGTCTTCGGTATGCAACCGGCTTCATGGTATGCAACCGGCCTAGGTCCACTGTCCACCTAGCCCTCACTAACAGAGTAGCAGAGTGGTTGTTTTTGTTACTTGTCATTGAGTCAATTCCAACTCATGCATGCAGAGTAGAACTGCTTCATAGGGTTTTCAAGGCTGTGACCTTTCAGAAGCAGATAGCCAGCCTGCCTTTTGAGGTGCCTCTGGGTGGGTTTGAACCGCCACTCTTTCAGTTGAGTGCTTAACCATTAGCACCACCCAGGACAGAGAGAAATATTGCTGTACGAGGGAATACCATAGAGGGAGAGACTTGTTTAAAGGGAACTTTAAGGGGAATTTAGATTTGGAAAGGATAGACACAATCCATCTTCTCCCTTTACAAGGGATGTTAGAGAAATTAAAAAAAAATAGAGATGGCTTAAAAATAATAGATGATCTCGATAGATCTCCTTATAGACATGCTGATGACAGACTCCTGACAAATACACTAATATTAACCAGAAGGAGAGTCCTTCTCTATGAAATGCTATCAGTAGGATGTACTTCATCTACCCAGGTTGCTTACTGTGGATTTATGGGGCATGGTTCATTGGAAAATATAATGTAAACTATGTAATTAATAGGATATAAAAAGGAAATGTTGTGTAACTGAAATGGCTACTTTTATGCACATGATGTGCCAGACTTCGTCATGTTTCACCGAGATAGCCTATATCCTTTAAATTATTAATAAAAGTTAGTACTAGGTATGATTTCTGACTTCTGTGATTCTTTAAAGTATAAAGGTTATAGATAAATAGATAAGAACCTTTCCTGAAGAATGACCTAGACTCAAGCCATCAAAAAATGTTTGGAAAACCTTTAGCATAATGTACATGCTTAACTGAGAACTAAGGCTGATCAGAGAGACAAAATAGTATGTAAACATTATGTGGCAATAATACAACTACCCAGGACACCAGCAGAAGAAGGAACAAAGAATAAACTCACTGACTGACTCATAGGCATCATCTGGGAATAAAAGAATTGTCAGTTGGAGTTTGCAAACCAAGTAGTTGTTGCTTAAACAGAGATAAAAAACCAAAGACTTTAACACTAAGCACATAGTAGTAAACAAAGCTGGATCAAGGAGGAAAAGGGAGGGAAAAAGAAAGAAGCAGTTACTAGATAATTTCAGTATTGCTCATAGTAAGAAAATAATAGATAGTATTGACAGAAAGTGAGGACTACTGAATTACATACAGGTATGAGATTAAAGGTAAGCACTGGGCAAAAGGGAAACCTTCCTAAATAACAAAAGAAATACAAAAATCAAAAGAGAAAGAAGATAAAACAAATCACATAAAGAAAGACTGAGTATTTGTGTATATATTAAATACAGCACAAGGCAAAGAAAAGAAAGGGCAGTGGTGTATAACGTAAATGCAAAAGGTGATTTTGATAGCAGGTAGTCAAGCCAAAAAGAGATTTAAAAAAAGGGAGGGGGAACACAGTATAGTACTAAATTATAATGTAATTAATAATTCACAAATTACAATGAAAATATAACAATCATCAATAACTATGCACCAAATAAAGGAGTCTAGTGGCACTGTGGTTAATAAGCACATGGCTGCTAACTGAAAGGTAGGTGGTTCGAAGTCAGCAGCCGCTCTAAGGGAGTAAGATGTGGCAGTCTGCTTTCTTAAAGATTACAGCCTTGGAAACCCTATCCAGCAGTTCTGTTCTGCCCTATAGGGTCAATATGAGTCAGAATCAACTCGATGGGAATGGGTTATACACCAAATAACAGCAGTAAATTTCACAGAACAGAAACAATAGGAGATGGAAGAAAAACAGACGAACTTACATTAACAATAGGGGAATTTAATAATCTCAGACAGATAAAGTAGAAAAAAATGGTAAATTTTCGTTCTTGTTGTTAGGTGCCATTGAGTTGGTTCTGACTCATAGTAACCTTATGTACAACAGAACGAAACACTGCCTGGTCCTGCACCATCCTCACAATCATTGCTATGTTTGAGCCCATTGTTGCAGCCTTGGTAAAAACAATGGCAGAAATTGCATAATAGAATTTTGCAAGACCAACATCCTACTCATTGGAAATAACTTTCTCAACAACATAAATGGTGACTATGCATGTGGACCTTACCAGATTGAATACACAGGAATCAAATCGACTATGTCTGTGGAAAGAGGTGATGGAAAAACTCAATATCATCAGTCAGAACAAGGCCAGGGGCCGACTGCAGCACAGACAATTGATAGCTCACATGCAAGTTCAAGTTGAAGCTGAAGAAAATTAAAACAAGTCCACGAGAGCCAAAGTACAACTTTGAGTATATCCCACCTGAAATTAGGGACCATCTCAAGAACAGATTTGACACACTGAACACTAATGACCGAAGACCAGATGAGTTGTAGAATGACATCAAGGACTCTAGGACTAGTTTAACCTTAATACAAAGGGGTGACCCTTCTGGGGTCTCTATGATTGTCTTGAGTGTTCATTGAGGTATCTTTAGGTGCTTGGAATTTCAATGTCTCCCAACCGGTGTGAGCCCTGGGAATTGCTCAGCTATTAGCCTCCTGGCAGTTGTTCTTTGACCAACCTTGTGGAGCTTTGCCTTCTGCATGCCCAGATTGTTATTCAGCTCAACACTCAGAGGACACCCATTCGGATTTCTAGAGCTAACTCTACATAGTTCACTTCTACCTTGTGCTCTGCTCCACAAATTCTGCCATCTCAGCTTCTCCAAACACTGATTTCTGTCTACTCAATTTAGGGAGGCTGCCATACTCTATTTGCGTTCCCCACTCTGTATCCAGGTCTAGAAATTGCCTCCAGGCAGGAAGCCAGGGCAATCACTGAAACTACCTTGTTTGTTTCCGCTTTCCCAGGGATAATGAACTGCTATTGTCTGGATATCTGAAAACAACTGTTTCATATATGGTGTCCAGTTTTCTTGTTTTGTTTTTGCTGTTGTTATTAGTGTTGTATGTTTGTTTGTTGGTGTAAGAGCAAGTTTTCTACTTGCTCTTTCAAGGCCAAAAGCAGAGGTTGTAATGTTAAATTTGAATTAGAATTATCATTAAGAAGTCATGATTTTTTTCCCTCTTTACAAAAATATGTAAGTTCCAGTCCTATCAACTGAGATGTCCTAGAAATAATGGCAACTCAGTTGTAATGAATATTATGGTGACTAGATCTTGATTTATAAATGCTCTTCCTCTGAAAGGGATCCAGGGCTCCTTGCATCAGTGACTAATTCCAGGTCTGGGACAGAACTGGTATAAGACTAGCCTGGGACACCTTGTTGTGCCAGAAAGCAAGAAAGCTATTGAAGAATTATGGACAAGGGAGCCAGATGAAGGGGCTTGCATTGGCAAAAGGATATTCAAGTATCAAAAACAAAAATAAAATTAAAAAAAACAACAAAACACAAGTCCTTACTGATATTCAAATAAAGATATAGTCAGAAATAAAAATAAATAAAATCCTATTCACCACCATTAAAAGTAACTTCAGCACCAACTGCTCCCTATGAAAATTGGTAATTGAAGAGAAAAGATTAAGCATTATACCATCTTTCCTATGTGAATGGTTTTTCAGGGTAACCAAATAGCCCTGATTGATAAAGAAAATTTCTTTAGAGAATCCCAGTTAATGATTTTGGAAAGAATGATAGGATTAGAAATATCACTACTTTGCAAACCTTAACAAAAGATTATATATAGGCAAAGATCATAAATGGGTGAAATTATTAAATAAAAAGCTGATGGGAAACTTTACAATGAAAGAATCACGTGGTCACCACATGAATCCATTGATAAATCTCAGCATGAACAAAAGTAGGACAACTAGACATAATGCAATGAAGTATGGAGAAGTGAAGAGAAATTGGACCTGGGAGTTACTTTAAAATCCTTAAAAACAGTAACTACAAAAACAATAAAATGAAACAAGAAGTAAGTGTAGCAAAATAATGATAACTATTGAATCTTGGGGTTCATCGTGTATGTTTGAAATTTTACATAATAAAAAAATTGAAAGTAGGGCATACATACCTGCATTTTTATAAATGAATCAGCTTCCAATAATTTCATTTTAGAGAGAAAATTAAAGGCAAATGGAAAGTCAGTGAAAATAAGTGGACTGAGGTTATCTGCAGGTACCTAAAAAATAAACCGACATAATAGTTTTGATAATTTAAAAAAAAAAAAGGAAAAGGAAAACTTCATTTCTTTACTTCATCACTTAAAATTCATTCCCTCTGTACTTTTGGAATCTGTTCTTAAGAATCCAAAGTACCACGAAACAAATTTCTTTAAAAATGTATTTGTTTTGTGAGTGAAAGATGTTCAAGTTTTTAACAATCATCTAATTCAGCAAATTTGGAATTGTAATGAGAAATTTTTCAAATCCTGATTTATCAGACAAGTTACTAATGTGTCCCCTCTAAAATGTGAAAATTTTCAGAAATACAATTGTTATTCTTACCGGATTTTTGTTCCGCGAGATTACTCTGCATCTCTCTATATAAAAGTTAAGTGAATTGGAGAGTTCATTTATGTTGAAAGCATTTTCAGGCAGTCGAGAGTTAGCTTTGTTTACCTTAAAAAAAATGTGGCCTGTGAATTTCATTTTGTATCAATAAGTAATTTAATATATGATATATATGTATTCATTAATTAATGAATATTAACTTGCACATTTGTCAGGCATGGGACAAACCATAATATAATGGTCCTTGTCCAGCTTAAGCTGGTCCTGCACAATTTATTATCTAGTGCAGGGGTTGGCAAACTTTTTCTTAAATAGCCAGATAGTAAATATTTTAGGCTTGAGGACCATACAGTCTCTGTCACAGTTATTCAACTCTGCATAGTAGTACAAAAGCAGCCACAGACAATACATAAACAAATGGGTCCAAATGTATTCCAATAAAACTGTATTTACAAAAACAGGAGACTGGCTCATGGATTGCCAATGCAAGGTCTAGTAGGTAATAATGACAAGTAAACAGACATCTGGGGTACAGTGTGAGAAATCTTATAAATGGGGAAGGACTTAAGAGGTTCAAGAAAGCAATGGCTGAAAATCAATGATCTAAGCCTCTACAGCAACAAATTAATCCAAAAGATATAAGGCAGGAAATAAGAAGGCTAGAAATATAAATTAAGGAAATAAAAAATGCATGAATGGGAGAGGGGCTCAACAAACAAAAAGGTTGGTTCTTTCAAAAGAAAACAAACCTTTCTAGTAAGACTGACCAAAGGAGGAGAAAAAAAAGAAAAGCCAAAATTACTAATATCAAGAATGACAACGGGGGAAAAACTACAGATTCTGATGAGATTGAAAGATAAGATTTGAAGGGCATCTATACAAAACCAATAGTCAACATCATTCTCAATGGAGAGAGGCTGAAAGCACTCCCCCCCGAGAATGGAAACAAGACAAGGATGCCCTCTATCACCACTCCTATTTAACATTGTGCTGAAAGTCCTAACTTGAGAAATAAGGCAAAAAAAAAGACAAGAAACAAAGGTCATCCAAATTGGAAAGGAAGAAATAAAACTATCCCAATTCGCAGATGACATGATTCTATACGTAGAGAACCCCAAAAATACCACAAGAAAACTACTGGAACTAATAGAAAGATTCAGCAGAGTAGCAGGATACAAGATCAACATACAAAAATTAGTTGGATTCCTATACACCAACAAAGAGAACTTCGAAAAGGAAATCACAAAAACAATGCTGTTTATAATAGCCACTAAAAGGATAAACTCTTTAGGAATAAGTATAACCAGGAAGTAAAGGATCTATACAAAGAAAACTACAAGACACTATTAGAAACCAAAAGAGACCTACATAAATGGAAAAACGTACCATGCTCACAGATAGGAAGACTCAACATTGTGAAAATGCCAATTTTACCCAAAGCAATCTACAGATACAATGCAATCCCAATTCAAATACCAACAGCATTCTTTAATGAGATGGAAAAACTAATCATCAACTTTATATGGAAAGGAAAGGGGCCCTGGATAAGCAAAGCTTTACTGAAGGAAAAGAACAAAGTAGCAGGCATCACACTACCTGATCTCAGAAACTGCTGTTCAGCCACGGTTGTTGAAACAGCCTGATACTGGTACAATGACAGACACATTGACCAATGGAACAGAATCAAGAACCCATATGTAAATCCATCCACCTATGATCAGCTGATCTTTGACAAAAGATCAAAGTCCATTAAATGGGGAAAAGACAGCCTTTTTAACAAATGGTGCTGGCAAAACTGGATGTCCATCTGTAAAAAAATGAAACAAGACCCATACCTCACATCATACACAAAAACTAACTCAAAATGGATCAAAGACCTAAATATGAAATCTAAAACTATAAAGATTATGGTAAAAAAAAAAAAATAGGGACAACAGTAGGGGACCCCTCTACATGGCATAAATAGGATACAAACCATAACTAAGAATGCACAAACACCAGAAGATAAAATAAATAACAGGGAGCTCCTAAAAATTAAACACTTAAGCTCATGAAAAGACTTCTTCAAAAGAGTAAAAAGAGAACCTACAGACTGGGAAAAAAATTTTTTGGCTATGACATATCCAACAAGGGTCTAATCTCTAAAATCTATAGAATACTTCAACACCTCAACAATAAAAAGGCAAATAACCCAGTTAAAAAATGGGCAAAGGATATGAACAGACACTTCACCAAAGAAGACATTCAGGTAGCTAACATATACATGAGGAAATGTTTGAGATCCTTAGCCATTAGAGAAATGAATGCAAATCAAAACTACAATGAGGTGCCATCTCACACCAACATTACTGGCACTAATCAAAAAAACAGAAAATAACAAATACTGGAGAGGTTGCAGGGAGATTTGAAACTCTTATGCACTGCTGATAGGATTGTAAAATGGTACAACCACTCTGGAAAACCATATGGTGCCCCCTTAAAAAGCTAGAAGTAGAAATACCACACCATCCAGCAATCCCACGCCTAAGAATATATCCTAGAGAAATAAGAGCCATCACACAAATAGACATATGCACACCCATATTCACTGCAGCATTATTCACAGTAGCAAAAATATGGAAACAATCTAGTGCCCATCAACAGATGAATAGATAAACAAATTATGGTACATACACACAATAGAATACTATGCAAGGGTAAAGAACAATGATCAATCTGAGAAACATCTCACAACATGGATGAACCTGGAGGGCATTATGCTGAGTGAAAGAAATTAATCACAACAGGACAAATATTGCATGAGACCACTATATAAAAACCAAGAAAAGGTTTACACAAGGGAAAAAATGACCTTTGATGGTTATGAGGGAGGGGAGGGGAAATCACTAACTAAATAGTAGACAAGTGTTCATTTTGTTGAAGGGAAAGACAACATACAATGTAGAGGAAGTCAGCACAACTTGACCAAGGTGAAGTCATACACACATCCAAACACCTTGAGAGACCAAGTTACTGGGGCTGAGGGCTGGGGACCATAGTTTCAAGGGACATCTAGGTCAATTGGCATAACATAGTTCATAAAGAAATGGTCTCCATCCTACTTTGGTGAGTAGCGTCTGGGGTCTTAAAAGCTTGTGAGCAGCCATCTAAGATACATCTATTGGTCCCATCGTGTTTGGAGCAAAGGAGAATTAAGAAAACCAAAGACACAAAGGAAAGATTAGTCCAAAGGACTAATGGACCACAAGTACCACAGCCTTCACCAGCCTGAGCCCAGAAGAACTAGTGGTGCCTGACTACCACCACTGACCTCTCTGACAGAGATCACAATAGATCTGGACAGAGTAGGAGAAAAATATAGAATTAAATTCAAGTTCATACACAAAAAGACCAGGCTTAATGGTGTGACAGAAACTGGAGGAACCCCAGAGACTATGGCCCCCGGACACCCTGCTAACTCAAAACTGAAGCCCCTCCTGAAGTCCACCTTTCAGCCAAAGGTTAGATAGGCCTATAAAACAAACAACAACACACTTGAGGAATGTGCTTCTTAGTTCAATCAAATATACAAAACCAATGGGCAATACCTGCCCAAAAGCAAAGAGAAGGCATGAAGGGACAGGAAAACTGCACCAACGGGCACGGAGAACCCAGGGTGGAAAGGAAAAGTGGGAGAGTGTCGACACATTACAGGGATTGCAACCAATGTCACAGTATAATTTGTGTATAAATTTTTTAATGAGAAACTAATTTGTGTTGCAAACTTTCACCTAAAACTCGATAAAATTTTTTAAAAAGGGATAAAAAAAGAAAATTTGAGAACCTAAATACACAAATTTCTAGAAAAATAAAACAGACACAAGAAGAAATAGAAAATCTGAATAATCATCTAGTTATTAAATGAATTAAACCCATAATTTTAAATGTTCCCACAGAGAAATCTCCATATTCAAAAGAATTCACAGACTAATTCTACCAATTGTTCAAGGAAAAACCATGCCAGCATTACATAATCTCTTCCATCATTCCATGACACCTTGATCCAGAAACCCGAGAGGGACATTATGAGAAAGTAAAATAACAGGCCAATCTTCCTCACAAACATAGACACAAATAATCCAAGACAAAATATTAGCAAACTGAATCTGTTGATATATAAAAAAAAGTAACATATTATGAGCAGGGTGGGCTAATTTAAGGAGGCAAGCTTAGTTTAGCATTTGAAAATCCATCTGTGTAGTTTGCAATACTAATAGAATGAAAGGAAGAAAATTATATACAGAAGAAAATTTAATAAAATTCATTGTTCATTCATGATAAAAACTCTTAGCAAAATAGGAATAAAATGAAACTTCCTCAATCTTTTTAACAGGTATCTAAAAAACCCTACAGCAAACATAAAACTTAATGTTGCAGTTTTCCCTTTGAGATCAAGAACAAGATTATTAAACATTGTACTGGAGGTTCTAGCCAGCGAAGTAAGTGAAGAAAAAGAAAGAAAAGGAAGAAATAAAACTGTTATTATTCTCAAGTAATATTATTGTATGCACAGAAAATCCAAAGGAATCAATAGGTAAGTATAAACAGGTGAATTTAGCAAGATTGCTAAAAAAAACGTTAACATAAAAATTAACTTCATTTCTATACACTGACCTTTTCTACTCAAAGTGCAGTCCTTGGACCAGCAGCATTAACTTCACCTGGGAGCTTGTTAGAAATGCAGAATTCAAGGCCCCACTATAGGCCTATTGGACCAGAATCTGCATTTTAACAAGATCTTCAAGTAATTAGTATGCATATTAAATTTTGAGAAGCGATGCTCTAGATGCTTTTGACATCAGTGCCAGTCAGTATATAACCAGCCTTACCCCTGGTCTATATCTCCGAAATTTAAGAGCTCCTCTGGGAATCCCTGATCTCTGTGGGAATTCAGTCGATTCCTCTGGAATATTCTTATGTTCTTAGCTCTGGTTAAGAGCACAGTTTAATTCCTACTTCACTGAGACAATCACCCAAAGCAGAATGTGGATGGTATAATCAAGCCCTGTGACTTTGGATGCCACTGACTCCAAGTAGGCCTACTAGAACAATCTGGCACTCTGGGTGGCCCAAATGTTCCCAGAGCCACACAGCATGTGGACACCAAATCCTGATGGCCTCACCTGATCTTTCTACAGTGGGGTTTGACAAATATTCTAATATGGACTGTTAGAACCACAAGATTTAGCAGCATCCATTGGACCCTTTCTCTGTTCTGCAAACCTTTTTTTCTTCTCTTTTTATTTAATTCTTGCAGAGCTATATGTTCAGTAAAGTGCATAAATCTTAAAAGTACAGTTTGAAGAGTTTTCACGTACATATACACTTGTGTAAGCACCACCCAGATCAAGACATGGAACACTTTCAGCTACTTCTAGCAGGCTTTCTCAGCCTCCGTCCAAGTCAATCACCCTTCCAGCCAAGATATAACTACTATTTTGACTTCTATCACTGTAGATTAGCTTTGCTTGTTTTTGAAATTCATATATAGGAAATCACAGAGTATGTAAATTTTTGTGTTTGTCTTTTGTTCATCACTGTGTTGGTGAGATTCATCCATGTTGCTTTTAGCAGTCTCCTCAGTGTGCTTTTTCTTAACAGAAGAAGTCCATTACAAAGCATCTTCCTAAGCCTTCATGAAGTTTCTCACTTTTTAAATCTCCAATTATTTTCTTTCAAACATTTCCCTTTTATATATTACTTTATAAATTACTAAATATAATTACTTTGCATTCCATAATAATTGACTCATCATGATTCTTAAGAAGGCAACTGGCTGAGACCTAAGATTTTGATTTAGCAAAATGGTATATACATTCCTTTAGATAAACCCTTACCTTATACACTTCTTTCATCATTCCTAGAAGAGCTTTAGCATTACATTGACTCTGACTGGTGTCAGTCCAATAACTCAATTGAGAGATGATGGCTGTTCTAAGCATCTGGACCAGTGTGTTCAGAGAGGATTCATGCAAAGATGCCCAACACTTCTCTGAGGGGTATAAAATCGGCAACAATAAATACGGGCCAAAAAAGAAAAAAAAAAAATCCCTCAGTGTTTACTGGGTTTTTTAATGTAAGAAATAGATGATATTTTCCATTTTTGATGGGATAACCCATGAAATATCTTTTCTAAGGAAATCATCCAGGACAACATTCATTACTCACAGATAAGGGAAAACCAGTCTTTTCCCTGACTAACTATCATTACAGTTAAAAGCTGGATTTAAGATTCTGAAGAAATTTGTTGATAGTTCAAATTTATGATTGATTACTTAATTGATTTCATAATTTTTAAACTGACAATTCTACAGGGTGTCTATGAAGTCTGAAATACAGGTGAATATCTATATATCTACATACCTATACCTATATCTATAGCCATATGTCATCAAGAACATTTTCAATCTGTGAAACACAAACATATGGTATATATGGATATATATACAGTATATAAAAAGAGCTCAATAATTATATTTTCATATTACTGAGGTTGTAACCTGGATTTCTGTATCCAAGGACCGCTCAGAAAACAAATTTGTAGGATGTTAAAATACATTGTCAAGCTAATGTAATTAAAATAGTATGACTCAGATGCATGAAAGGTAAATCAATGTAACAGACTAGAGATTCCAGAAATGGATCTAATACACATGAGACTTTACTATATGATAAAGATGATATTACATATTAATGGGAACAAAACAGATCATCCAATAAACGTCTTGAGACATTCTGAAAGTGATCCAGAAAAAATAAAGTGTAACCAAGATAAAATCCATATGGATTAAACATAAAAATTAACAATAAAAATTGTAGGAGCATGAGAATTAAAAAAAAAAAAAAAGAAGTAGACCTTTCTAAGTATGATCTCAAACCCAGAAGCCATACAAGAAAATATTAATGTATTAGGCTGCATACAATTTTTTAAAATAATTATGGCAACAAAACTAATGGGGTACAACAGCCCAGGGACAAGGACTACAAGGCAGGAGGGGACAGGAAAGCTGGTAATAAGGAACTCAAGGTCGAGAAGGGAGAGTGTTGACATATCGTGGTGTTGTTAACCAATGTCATAAAACAATATGTGTACTAACTGTTTAATGAGAAACTATTTGTTCTGTAAACCTTCATCTAAAGTACA